CGAAGCTTTTGTGCCTCCGTATAGTCGGAATGACGCATTAGCCCTTGTAGCGCTAGTACATAGTCTTTAAATGCCTCTCTGGGCCGTTGAACACGCTTCCGTATCTCATCATCGAGTCGTTCGAAATACCGGGAATTCAAGAAGAACTTCAGGAAATTTCGCTTACACGTCTCCCAGTCTCTCCAGTGGCCGTGATTGTTTCGTAACCAGACGAGGGCTCTATCCTTAAATAACTCGGGTAATGCTCGTGGAAGTGCGTCTCTTTCTATCTCGTACCCGTCGGCTAATTCTTCCACGCGTTCGATGAAACCCAGCGGGTCCTTGCCGCCATCGTATTTGACGCCCCATTTGCGTACGCGGTCCATAATAGTTGGGGCTGATCGTTGTGAGCCGACGTATACTGGATACATGGGCACGTTCGGCGTTCCACTTGTGCTGTCGTCGTTGATGGGTTGTTGTGTAGGCGGTAGTACTAGCACTTCGGGTCTCTTCGGTGTTGGTGCATTCCCCGCACTTGTAGACCTCGTATGCTTAAGCGCTAAGTCAGTGACCCGATCGCGATGGTTCTCAGTCTCCCCTTCCTCTTGTACAAATGTAGAAAGGCGTTTACGCAGCTCCTCGACGGTCCCCGAATTGTCAAGGCTGAACTCCATCATAAAGGTCACAAGCTCCTCTTTATTTAAATAGTACACCCACTTTGTTTTCACCATTTTTTTATTTTTTTTATTTTATTATTATCATTTTTTTTATGTTCCTTTGTTTCACGTTACCCTCTTATTGGTCAGGAATGTTTGATTACTTTCACAGTTCTTAATTTCTGGGCTTTACCCTGTTTCTCTATCACTCTAAAGGTGTCTTTGCACTTTTGCTTGGTAGTTTTCCAAATCACTTCACTTCACTTTTGTTATTTGTGAATTCTCCTCCTTGGCCCTTACTGCTTTCTTTATATATAAGGGCCCCACGTTGGGCGCCAATTGTAACGAACCCAGTTTATCCGGTCTATAGCTGGGCTGTGGCTTAGTCGGATGTTGGGTTCCCTTATCCATACGCCAATGATTCTTACAGTGACGCTTCTTTATTTCGCTATTTGGTTGGCAGCGTTTGCACGTCACACCAATATAACGTATTGCTTTGGCAGCGTTTTCATGTCACACCATATATCTTAACTACCTAGTAAGCAACTTAAGAGCGAAATACACCACACAAGCGGTTTGACAAACCAAGCGAAATTTCCCTTTGCTTCAAGCCATTTGTGCTGTGTATGGGGGTGTTTGAAGGTTTGACAAACCGCTTGAGGGAAATTTGAGCAAAAATCAAAATTTTTTGATTTTCTGGCCGCCATGTTGATGTTTGATCAAACCGCTTGCGTTGTGTATAGCAAAATCGCCTCATTCGCAACGAAATTTTCACCGAGTAAGGACGTAAGAGAGGAAAATGAAAGAAAACCATAATATTTAGCATTGCGAACTGGAAGAAAACTAAAATTCTTTGCTTGAACGAGTCATGTTTGCATGGTGTATGGCGAAATGGGAAAAGTAGGTTTGAAGAATGTTTGACAAGCCGCTTGTGTGGTGTATTTCGCTCTTTAGTCTTCACAATCGTTGCTTAGCCATTCCAATCTGCGTTTTCACGATCGACTGGAGTATACGACTACTCTACCAGAAGTGATTTCAAATTACATTTGAGGCTCTATTTATACTGTCCTGAACGCAGGCAGACAGTTATCCTAACAACATTGTTGCTAATATTTTCTTTACTTCCTTTTACTTGTTGGTACCTAAGTACGTATGTATGTACTTCAAATTTCAATATAAATATGTACATATGTATTTCGATCTCACGTATGTATATAATTAACAATTCATTTAATATGTATATTCACTTATAATAATTATCAAAATTCAACAATAAGTATATATATGTATATAAAAATGAAATTCAAATTGTGGAGGCCCTTAGTGATGGACTTGGGGTCTTCACACCATTCAATTTATGAATTTTGACAAAATTCTTGAGATGTTGAGTTTATTTCGATAGAATGACAGTTTGCGAGTTACGTCTTACCTTTTCTTTGAGAATATATTTCTTTCGAATCAATTTTTTAACGAAATTTTGGTTTTATAAATTTTATCACATTTTACGATCGTAAATTAATATTTTTCAACGGGTTTATTCAAAATGTCATTCAAATTTATTTTTTCCACAAAATGTATAATGTAACATTTTTTGTTATTGTTATTTTATGGCCTTATAATAATATATTCAACCATTTTTATTGAGCTCGAGGCCGTTTTAAATGAAAATTTGCATTGTGGAAAAGCAACAATAATTTGAAAAAATGGTAGAAGTGATAGCTATTTCGGAAATCACCACATTTCCTCATCAGACTTCTTTCAGTAGGATTCGAACCGACGATCCCACTGACTCAGCCAGTTGCCTATGCACCGTGCTAAGACGCCTTGTAAATTATCGTTTGCTTTTTTCCACTATTTTCATTTTTGTTATGCCAACACAATCAAGCGCAGCTATTCCGCTGCAATTCACTTGATCATGTGGTTGTTGGTATTGTTGGTTTTTGCTAATAATTCTATTTTTAGAATGTTTAACTTTTAGGTGTGCTCGTCCTTAAGTTATTTGTTTTTGATATTTTTTGGCCTTTATAACAATTATATTCAACAATTTATATTGAGCTCGAGGCCGTTTTAAATGACAGTTTATTGTGGAAAAGCAACAATAATTTGAAGAAATGGTAGAAGTGATAGCTATTTCGGAAATCACCACATTTCCTCATCAGACTTTATTCAGTAGGATTCGAAACGACGATCCCACTGACTCAGCCATATATAAATACATATATAAATGTCATAACGTTACCGCCTGAAAACTAAAAATCGGGCTTCTGAAAATATACGTTTCGGGCATTTTCTCAAAAACTGGTCAGTCGATTTTGTTCTAGGCTTCCACAAGTCTACCAACCCTTGTTGTGGAGATATTGCGATTCAAATTGAAATAATTTCGCTCCATAAAGGATCAAATGGTTAAAAATTAACATGTTCGTCTAATTTGGTTACTTTAAGATATAAAAATTGCTCATTCCCCGATTGCCACTTAAACCGAAATCCCCTGAAAATCGGGGAATTTCCCGCGAGTTGACAAGTTGAAGGATGCAGCTGTGCTAATCACTTCGTACATTTTAGAGTTTTTTTTCAGTCACATGCCAAAATTGTAACATTATCCCCATTTTAATTGCAGGTATGTACACAGTATGTAACTATGATACATGGGTTTATCACCCGCACTTAACCTACCTGGGAAGACGCGTACTATATTATCTACAGATGTACATAAATATGTAAGTATGAGTGCATTTAGTTCACCCAATGTGCCGCAACTACTTACATACTTATGTATAAATTGCCACTGAGCAAAACTACTTGAGAAATAAACATTAGTTTAGTAGCAAGAGTGCAACATCGTAGACGTGATAGAAGTAAAACTTCTTAAAAAGAGCATATGTGTGTACCCCAATCCCGGTAGAAATCTAAAAAAAAAAATAACTACGAGGCAATAAGACGAATACAGTTGTTAATTGTATCCAAAGTTTGTACCAAGTTGATAAGTTTTGATCATTTCTCATAATTTTTTTTTTATTTTTCATTTTTTTCGAAAACAAAGGATATGATCATTCTTTTTCGCTTTATTCCGTATTCGAAAAATTATATGTTTCAATGGACACATCGATTTGAATACATAATTTAGATTTAGATAATATTTTTAGCAAAATAATATAATATTTTGAGAAAAATAAAACATTTAGATTATTGTTTGTATTTTTGTCGATTTTAAATTTGCTACCCCAAAATAATTGATATCAAATAAAACACTTCTTTGATGTAAAATTTTCCAGTGACGAAAGCTGAACTAGAAACACAAAATTTATGATATCAATTTCATGACGAGAATTATACTATTTTTTTAACTGCCTTTGAAACGTACGGAAAATCTTTTTTTATTTATTCGGAACGTTGCGAAATTCCGTCCACTGCTAGAAACACAAAATAAACAAGTAAGAAAGTCTAAGTTCGGGCGGAGCCGAACATTAAATACCCGGCGCAAGTATTAAATATATGTTTTCCTCCTTTCCGAAAGCTACCGCTACATGATAAGCCGGGGTGTATACATTTTAAGTAAATTAGCGTTCTTAAATTTCGAAATATTGAAATTTCAAGCATTTCTGAAATTTACCGTTATATGAAAATCGGCCTCAATTTTAGTCCGATTTCAACAATTTTCAACGGTTTGCTTTTATGTGGCAAGCACAATAACCATACCGAGCTTGGTACAAATTGCTAGAACGGTTAGCGAGATACATATATGTGATCACAAGTGGGCGGTGCTACGCCCATTTTCCAAAATGTTGTCATAAACGTATTTCTTGGTAGGTCGGCAAAAATCCTCCGGCTGAACCCTCCACGAGGGTGCTGACTGGAAATGGGCATTACAGAGGATTCTGTGCGATGTCAGAATGGTGCTCAGCTAAGATCAGGAATCAGTGCTATGTGCTAAACTCCTTAATAGCGTAGTCATATGGAAATGGTTTCTGATCGTGGCTTGGAGGTCTGAAGGGGCTGGATCAAGGCGTCACGCGCACCGTACCGAGGATCGGCCAGGCTGGGGGCCCCTAAATAGCCCAGTCGCGAACGGAGCCCTCTGGGAGGCGGCCACACCCAGGATGTAAGTAGGCCTTACCTGGGCATCGCAGATCTCTGCCCGGGTGGACGAACCCCCTTTCTCCGCAGCCCGTGGGATCAATTATGGACAAAAAACAAATAACAACAACAACACCAAAAACAGCAATAACAACATCAAAAACAATTTATAAAGGGACCGGCCCCTTTAAAGCGTCGGAAGGGTCTCGGCCCACTAAACAAGGAGCTCAAGCGATGCAGAGTACCTCCACCAGCCGTAGTGCGGTGACAAATAGCGGGAAACCAAGGCCAATGGTGAAACCGGGCCAAGCTCTCGCAAAAACGAAGGAAAGTGGCGGTGGGGTTGCTCAAAGGAGTCCACCCCGGGAAACTCCTGGCACCAGTGGACGCCAACCTGGCATGCAGATTGCAGCCGGGGATGAGGCTGAATCTGGGGCGCAGGCCCCGGGCGGTCCTCCCGTGACACCCACCGCCTTCACGAGGCCTGACCAGAGGCCAGAACCAGCTGCAGCGGGCTATCGGCAGAGGAAGCTGGCTGCTCGAATCCTGCAAAGGTTCACCGCAACGCCTGACCTGTGTAGCAAGGCGAAAGAAGAGCATGTGAAGGAGATCCTCACAGAAATCGACTGGGCAAAGGCAGTCCTGCCCGACTACCGCAAGCCGGAGGAGAAGCAGCCGCAGGCGCCCTCCAGTAAGCGCAATAGATCGGGGGAAAATACGCCCAACCAATACGCAAAGAGGGTCAGAACGCAGGGGCCTTCTTTTGCTGAAGTAGCCAAGGAGCAGATCCTGCTCGGCGTCATCGATGAGAGCAATGAAGACAGCCTCACCCTGAGGCAGCAATGGAAGTGGGTTAAGGCCGCGATGGCCGACATTGCTATCAACCTTATGTTGGAGAATCCGGGACTTCCGCCAACCTGGGAGCGGGGTGGTTCCAAAATAACATCCGCGTTATAGCATGCGAGGATGCTAGATCAGCGGAGATCTACAAGAAAACAGTCGCAGGTATTGGAGAAGTCTACCCTGGTGCGAAGCTCAGGGCGGTCGACTTCAAGGACCTACCGGTGCGACCGAGAGCGGGAGCATGGTTGCCTTGCAGGCCAGCGGAGCCAGAAAGGATCGTCCAAACCATAAGGCTCTATAACCCGGAGCTACCTACCGATAATTGGAAGGTGGTAAAAATCAACGAAAGCGGTAAAGCGACGTTGCAGGTTGTCCTGCTTCTAAATAAGGACTCCATAGAGTTGTTGGAGCAAAAGAGCGGGGTCATACGTTACGGCAGTGACATGGCCAAAATTAAGGTCTACAGCAACGACGTAAACGCAGCGAAGAACCTGATCGCGGAGGTAGAGCCGGAAGAGGCCAACAGCGACGTGGAGATGGAGGAAGAATCCGAGCAGGTTGATCCGATGGACGACCTGACCGGGGGTTATGCCTCATCGACGTCTTCGCTGGGGGTCGGACGCATGCTTCGGCTTTATACGGAGGAGGAGTTGATCGAGATGTCGGAAGACGCGGTCAACTCCACCCTAATAGGCGACGTGGGCGATAACGGCTAAGATGGTGAAGGTACTGCAGATTAACCTTCACCACTGTAAAGCAGCTTCAGCTGCACTGCTGCTCCATCTAACAGCTAAAGGGGCAGCCGACATCGTCCTAATCCAAGAACCTTGGGTGGTGGGACAAAACATTTGTGGGCTGAAAGCGCCGGGCTACAGACTGGTAAGTGGAGCCTCAACGGGGAAACCAAGGACGTGCATATTGATAAGTATCACACTAAAGTGTCTCTTTCTTCCACAATTTAGCGACGAGGACACAACAGCGGTCAGTCTAAGTGCAAACGGACGACCAATTAAGATGGCATCCATGTACCTAGCGCATGACAAGGAGGTGCCGACTACCTGCATTAAAGACCTAGTGGCCAGCACGAGTGAGGCGCTAATTTTGGGAGGTGACGCGAATGCTCTCACCATCACAACTGGGGCAGCTCCGATGATAACGAACGGGGTGAGTCACTTTTTAATTTCATACTTAGTTCTAAGCTTGTTATTGCGAATAAGGGGAATGATCCCACTTTTATTACAAAATCCCGAAGGGGAGTTCTGGACGTTACCCTTATCTCTGAGATTGCGGAATGTCTGGTCGGGAAGTGGAAGGTGCTTGAGGAGCACTCCTTTTCCGACCACCGATATATCCAATTCGAGGTATTAGGGGAAACGCCCAAGGCTCCTCTAACTAGAAACTTGCGAAATGCCAACTGGCATAGGTATCGGAAAGAGCTGGATAGGCTTTTGCCACAAGATAGAGAGCCGGCTACTCCAGCAAACCTAGAGGAGCTGGAATATCTTGTCGACCATTATACGGGGGCCTGCAGTAAGGCAATAGACATTGCATGCCCCAAAAAGCAGCACCGGGGTAGGAAAAAGCCACCCTGGTGGAATGAAGAAATCAGGATTTCACGCAAGAACTGCAGGAAAACCTTCAATCAGGCTACTGCGTCTGGTAGTGAGGGACATTGGGAGACCTACAAGACAACGTTACGGGAGTACAAGAAGCTCCTAAGAAGGTCGAAAAGAACCTCATGGAAAGACTTCTGCAATGGGGTGGAGTCTATCTCAGAGGCAGGCAGGCTCAGAAAGATACTCTCAGGTACTGCCCAGAAAGCCTCAGGATGCTTGCAAAGACCTGACGGTTCCTGGACAGAGACCGAGGAGGAATCACTGGATCTGCTTCTTTGCACACACTTCCCGGGTGCCACGGATAGCATGCCGGTACAGCCACACCTAACTGGAGATCTTTCGGTCACTGGAGATTTCCTCACTAGGGAAAAGGTCATCTGGTCTATTGGGACATTTAAGCCCTATAAATCAGCAGGCCCGGATGGCATTGCCCCCATACAGCTGCAGCAAACACTTCAGCTAAGCTCAGCGTGGCTACACGCTATAATTAAGGGCGTATTAGCTCCTAACCATATCCCTAGAAAGTAGAGGGAATCAAGAGTGGTGTTCATCCCCAAGGCAGGGAAGGTGTCTCACAATAACCCAAAGGATTTCAGGCCCATCACCTTGTCGTCATTTCAACTGAAGGTTATGGAGAGACTGGTGGAGGTCCGTATCAGAGAGTCGGTTGGTGACAGACTCTCTACCACACAACATGCTTATACGAAAGGTAGATCTACAGAAACGGCGCTACATGAAATAGTGTCGTATATAGAGAGATCACTAGACATCAAAGAATATACGCTAGCAGCCTTCCTGGATATAGAGGGCGCCTTTAACAACATCATGCCGGGCGCGATAACGGCAGCACTGGCGGGCCTGGGCATCGACTCACGCTTAGTTGCGCTCGTAAACCAAATCGTAGAGAGGGGCACCCCGCAAGGGGGAGTCCTATCCCCTCTACTATGGGTCGCAGCGTTAAACTCACTGCTGTGTGGCATGGAGGGGGGTGGCTGTAAGGTTATTGCGTATCCGGATGATCTTGCACTAACAGTAAGTAGGAAATTTCCACAGACTCTATGTGACATTATGCAGGTAAAACTGAAGGAAGTCGAGAGTTGGACAAAAAATAACGGGTTAGGGGTAAACCCAAGCAAGACAGAACTTGTACTGTTCACAAGAAGGTACAAAATCCCCCCATTGATAACACCAAGGCTGGCACAGACCACACCAAAATTAAGCGATTCCGCTAAATACCTGGGGATAGTCCTAGATAAAAAATTAAGCTGGATTCAAAACACCGAAGAGCGGGTGCGGAAAGCCACGGTTGCCCTATACAGCTGCAGGAGAGCAATCGGCCAAAAATGGGGTTTAACCCCGAAGCTAGTGCACTGGATATACACCGTCGTGGTGAGGCCCATACTTCTGTACGGGGTAGTGGTATGGTGGCCATTGCTGGAGAAGAAAGTAAACATTATTAAATTACAAAAAGTGGAGAGAACGGCCCTGATCTGCATTAGTGGTGCTCTCCGCACAACACCTACTATGGCAATGAATACGATCCTCAACATCATACCCATAGATATTATGGGACGACAATACGCTGCGTTTGCAGCCCTAAGACTACAGGGGCTTAAAAACTGGAAAGCGGCTCGCTGTGGTCACACTACAATTCTGAGAAACCGACAACTACCGAGTACAAAGGACTACTGTGTACCAAGGCTCACTTTCACTAAAGGTTAGAGCGTAACGCTACCTAGCAGGAAATCATGGCTCGAAGGAGTTCCGGGGTCTAGAGATGCCATAAGATTCTACACGGACGGCTCCAAACTAGAAAATAGGGTAGGAGGAGGCGTCTACTCGGAGAAATTGGGAATAAAAAGATCATTCCGACTACCTGACCACTGTAGTGTCTTTCAAGCCGAATTGGCAGCCATACAAGAAGCCGTTGACAGCCTAAAACTAGCTGTTATCGCCACTACGGAAATATATATATACTCAGACAGTCAGGCGGCCCTTATGGCGCTTGACTCTGTCACTATAAATTCGGAAACAGTTGCCAACTGCCGCAAATCACTTAACGTGATGGCAGAGCAGTTCGCTTTGCACCTGGTATGGGTACCGGGGCACAGTGACATACCAGGAAATGAGAAGGCAGACGAGCTTGCAAGGGCGGGTACTTCCTCTCCACTTTCACCAGCCTGGAAGAGGGTGGGTATGCCACTCGCTTCCTCCAAGCTCTTACTAAGGGAGAACTTCCTTGAAGAAGCGGACTCCAGATGGGAGCGCACTGAAAACTGTAATACAACGAAGCTTACATGGCCAAAATGGGATGTACGGAGATCGAGAGAAATTCTCATTCTCAACAAAGGCGATATGTCACTGGCCATTGGTCTGCTCACAGGACATATTCTGATAGGAAGGCACGCAGAACGCCTCGGGGTTAGTCACAACGACTACTGCAGGAGCTGCCACGACGAAGAAGAGCCTGAATCAATAAGGCACTTACTCTGCGATTGCCCAGCACTGGGCAGGAAAAGACAGAAATTCCTAGGTATAGGTCTTCTAGACGATCTAAGCGCGACTGCTAAGTTTGGAATACGGCTGTTGCTAAGGTTTGCAGACTCCACAAACTGGTTTAAGGAATAGGCGTTTTCTTTGGATCCATGTGGTATCACAATGGGCTCTGATCGGGCCTAAGTGTGCTGGCGCCCTCTGGGCCTAGCAGCCACTTCAACCTAACCTAACCTAACCTATTTCTTGGTAAAGAATTGTTGCAACCATCAATTTTGAATAAATTAGCTTCAATATTTACTGATTTATCGAAGATTTTGTATTTCTCGAAATTACCGTTATATGGGATGTGGGCGTGGTTATTGTCCGATTTTAGAAATTTTCGGCCATTTGTTATGCTGTATCAGGACCAACAACTGTGCCAAGTTTGGAAGAAATTGGTGTAGCGGTTACCAAGATATACACATGAACGCAAACGTCAAGCTGTGAAGCTGTGTTTTTCTGTGATCTGTTTAAATTTTGTGTTTGATAAAGCTGTTTACGCTTATTAAAGTAAAAAATTAAAAAAAGTGTTAATAAACTTCTGGTGCACAATTTAAAGATAAGTAAAACATCAAAATTTCCCGTAAATTTGATTAATTTAACTTGATATTCTTAATTGCATGTGCCGAGTATTTTGTTTCATATAATATATTGTTGTTGTACAATTGTTTTTGTTTGTGCACATTGATTTTGCTCTTTTTGTCTTTTTGTCATTTCTGCTGTTTCATCTTTGTCACAGCTGTTTGCGTTGTGTTTATTAGGTGTCAAATATACAGTGCATCTAAAACTGTTCGTTAACTGATATTTACCAGCTGATTGGTTCACTGATTAATACATCGTTTTCAAACCCGTTTTACCTTTTTTGCTTCTAAAACCTAAAAATAAATATAATTTTAAACATGTCGTGTATTTACACCAATTGCCACGTTAAAAGCGACTCCTATGTGTCATGCTGGCTCTGCGATGGGATTGCCCATATAAAATGTGCTGGTTTCAGCGGTAGAGTTTTAGACGCTATTAACGAGGGTAAGGGTCTTCGTTGGTCTTGTCAAAAATGTAGATCAACCGAAGTTGATTTATTTAAATTCTTCAGGCAGTCCAGAAATGGTTTTTCTGAGATCGGGAAGGATCTGTCGGCGCTTGTTGAGAAATTTAAGCATTACGAAAAAATGTTTAGGTCTTTCACTTGTCTCGACGACCCTCCACACTCTGAGGATAGCCGAGAAAATAAAGGTGGGCATGTTATTAGTCCACCTAAAAAGCCACGGATTCTAGTAAAAAAAATCCTCCATCCCAGTCTTTAGAACTTATTAATTTATCTTCTCCATGCCCTCAGGCATTGGAGCCTCCGATTTCTAAAGCCATATCCACTAGGTCTACTTCTAAAAATAGTCAAACAGTTGATTTAACAGTGTTGCCATCAACATCTCAAACTCCACTGTCTAACTTAGTTCCTCCGAATAATTCGGAGCCCCGCACATCAGACATCATTACCAAAAAGTTGGTTGTAATTCCTCCGAGAAGATCAATCTTTGTCTCTAGATTTGCTAAAGATACTTCTTCGGATGATATAAAGTCATACATATCGACTAAAATTAGAACTAAAGATGTATTTATTCGTAAATTTAATTTTAAATACGATCGCGATATTTCATCTTTTAAAATTGATGTAGCTTCCGAAGATTTTGATTCACTACTAAAAAGTTCATTTTGGCCGACCGGGGCGTTTGTTCGCGAGTTTGAGTATAAACCTAATAAAAGTAATAATAACGTAGCTAAAATTTCTAATCTTAATTCGGATTCAAAAAACTAACTCGCAAGTCTAATTTAAGTATTTACTATCAAAACGTTAGAGGTTTGAATACCAAATTAACTGACTTATATTTAAAAGGTTTTGACTG